CTCTTCCTTTCTACCTCCTACCTCCTTTTATCTCTCCTTCTCTCCCTTCCTCTATACTCATTTAGTCTCTCCTTCTCCTTCTCCTCCCTCCACCCACCTCTTCTTCCTCTCTCCCTCCCTATTCTCTCCCCACTCTCTTCTCTCCCTTCCTTTTTCTCTCTCCCACCTTCATCTCCCTCCCTCATTCTTCTATCACCTCCTCCTCCCTCAGCCCCTCCACCTCTTTCTATCTCTCCATTCCCATCTACCTCTCGTCCTCTCTCTCTTCCTTCTACCTCTCTTCCTCTCTCCTTCCTCCGTTCACCCTAACTACCCCATCTCAATCATTTTACACTCCCCCCCCAAATTGTCTCTCTTTCTTATCGCCTTTCCTATTTTGATGTCACCATGTCCCTTTGGCAAATGTTTAAAAATGTATATTTTTCTATAGAGTTGTACCCTTGCCTTTGGAGATGTCTGAAAAGGTACCAAATATTCTCAAAAGGTAAATTTCAAGTTTTATACCTGGGTAAAATTAGCCTGGTTTGTCCTAGCAGAAAAAAGTGCATGTATTACTGTGGATGGGGCTTTGACTCAGTATACTGGTCATTGAGTTGGATGTTTCTATACTACACCAGTGGGTACTGCAGCACCAGTAGAATATCTGCTTTATTTCTCAGGACTTTTTGTTGTGTGTGAGGAGAGAGGAGAGAGAGAGAGAGAGAGAGAGAGAGTGAGAGAGAGAGAGAGAGGAGAGAGAGAGAAGAGAGAGAGAGAGAGAGAGAGAGAGAGGTAGGTAGGTACGGTAGGTAGTGTTAGGTAGGTAGGTAGGTATAGGTAGGTAGGTAGGTAGGATAATAGATAGATAGATAATAGATAGATAGATAGATAGATAGATAGATAGATAGATAGATAGATAGATAGATAGATAGATAGATAGATAGATAGATAGATGATTGAATGATGATTGATTGATTGATTTTGATTGAATGATTGATTGATAAATTGTGTGTGTGTTTTATTATTATTGTTTACTTTTGTTTTTAGTATTAGTATTGTGGCCTCATTTTTTTCTCTGGGAGTGTGGCAGAGTGTGCTTCAGTGTAAGCCATTTGTCCATGGTTTATTTTTTTCATTTGCTTGCCCACTATCTTCACCTCTGTGGTCATTTTGGGTGTTTCTATGCCATTGTTTTTCATTAGCATCCCAGCATGCTAGATTGTTCTAGCTTCCTTTGTTCATGGGGCAGTTCTGTCTCTCCATCATGCACACCTGTGGGTAGATCTGCTTTTTTATAATTTCATTCACAGATACCCTCAAACATTATTCACTTTCACCTAGCTTTCCTACAGTAAAATAATGCTTAAGAATCCACTCTACGTGCTGTGGGGTGTAGTAGTAGCGGTCTCCTCTAGCAATCTTGATGACCTGCGGCCTCATCTAGCAATCTTGATGATCCGCATTCAAATCTCGCATTGCCAATAAATGGTAACCCCATCCATTAATTACGCACAGAGGGTAATTCGGAAGCAAATATAAACAGATAGCCTGTCATACCAAGAATAACCATTGTAACAAATGGAATAAAACTAGATTATTATTATTATTTTATTTTTGTAAGGCTGCCAACCCTTTGCAAAAATAGTTATATCAACTGTTGCAAGGTGTTAGAATTCCATCAGTCTTTTGTAATACTGTAAATTGAGGGTTCTTTAGTAGAGGGCACTCTTTGGGGGATCCCTTGAATATCTTTTGTAACATGGGATAAGTCCAAGAATATCCATGCTGTGGTTATTTTGCACATATACATGTCATTACCTTTGTATCAGTACAATTTATGCTGGTTGTCACTTGCTTGGTTTCCTTGAATATCATTGTAATAATAATTAGTTCAGGGGCAATGATTATATTGATATGTAGGAAGTAAGGATCAGATAATACAGAACTTTAATGAGAACAGTTATGTTATTTTTGTTGTGGTTTAGTTACTTAGTTAATCTATGTTAGTTTCATTCTGAAAGATGTTGAAAAAGCTAATATATGCATTAATGTCATAACATATTGAATATAATCTGACACTAATTTTGAAATGTATAATACCAATACATTTATTGACTCATTGACCTCGGGTTAGAAATTTAGTGGGCTATTAACACGGGGTATTGGCATGCATTGACATTTTCTCCTGTTTGTGCCTGGCTTGTTTGGTAGTTTGCGGACAACATTAGGTACCTAAAAGCTTATATTTTAATATTTAAAAAAAATTACATACATGCATACGTACGTGCCATCTGGTGGGAAGGGGTTAATTTAATACCTCAACTGTATTACCTGATATGAATTGGTTTACAAACCAGGTCATATGACTTGAGTTTGATCAGCTCACTCAGAATTGTCTGTCCCATTAGAACCAGGGATCTGTATTCCTGGAACACTTTAGAAAGTTCAGTAGGTATTGATTTTTAATGGTAAATATTGGTTCCCATTTTTTTCTTTCTTTCTTTCTTGTCTTTTCAAGCCATAAGAATAATTTCTGACTATTGAACCTGAACAAGATGTCTTTGACCATTTATCTAAGAAAAAGGAAAGGACTTCTTTTGAATATCCTTTCCTAAATTTCACCTATACAGTATTTCATGATAATATGTATGCTCTTGTAGGTTTCTGTTTCAATATCAAACAAAATTATCCATTGCATATCCAAAACCTGCAACAGCATTAACATCTCTACTTAGCTTTGTGTGGGGAGACTGTTAGGTTACATTTTTTGTTTTATCATTTTCTATTGGGGCGACAGAAAGAATATGGTATACTTATGTGATATATAAATATGTATATGTACATCGGGAAGCTTATTGGTGTTTAGTAATTGATAACTCATTGTGTGTAGTGAACATTAAAATTCATTAGTATGTTGCTTTACTTCTTAATGTTTCTGTTTTTTGTCTTTTCTTTCTCTTTGCCCTCATCTTTCTCTCCCTCTGCCACCCACCACACATCCTCTCACTTTCTTTTCTTTGTCTTGCAACCAGTTTTTCTTTTCCCTCCCTCCCTCCCCCCATCATCTCTTCCTTCAATGTCTTCCTGAATGATAGCTAACATGGATAGTTCCTATAGCCATGAATGTCTAAACTTATGGATATTTGTGTACATTATTCTCCATTTGAATCTGTGCATTAAAAGAGTGGTTAAGAGTTCCCCTTTTTATTTACAGGAAAGCTGAGCGTGCAACAACAGGCCAGGAATCAGGAACATTAGCTGAAGCTCAGGCTCTACTGCAAGATACAAATGATGATGATGATGATGTTGTTAACGGGCAGATTGTTTTTGGTAATGATGTAGAAACAGATGATGATGAACAGCCTTTAGTGTGATGAAGCAAAATCTACTGAAGGGGAATTGTTAAATAGTGTAGTATCTAATTATTTGATTTGTGGTTAGAGCCTAGTCTTGTTCAAATTAAAGAAAGTTGATTTATTTACATTAAGAGTTTAATGTATTCTCTACATATATCTGTGATATGTTTTGAGTGAATAACATTCATATATCTCTCTAACACTGATGGCCATATCATTACAACTCCTCATGATTTTATTATTATGAATTTAAATAGTGTGAGACAACATACTAATAATTTTACCAAAGATAACAAAAATATGTAAAAGCCCTCCAAAAAAATGTAGTATTAATAATATGGACTTGTAGTTTCTGACAGACATATCATTACTAGAACTAGAAATATCAGTGGCATCATTTTATGACTGTATACTTTTTCTGTTTATCAAGTGTGTGTTATCTCAACAGGAGTTAATTGAAAAAGTTGATTATTCCAATAACCTGTTTCATGTAAATCAGTCTTTCATGAAATGAGTAAAGATATTGGCATAGTTCTACATACCTAAAGAAAGCCAAATGGGCTCAGGGATCTCTTAATAAAATAGACTTTTTATGGATACAGTGTATATTCTTATTTCAGATCAACTGTTGCATAGTATATTATTCTGGTCAGTCTAGTTTCTCACTTTTATATAGAATTTTTAAAAGATCAATATCTACATTAAATGATGATGACATTTTAAAAATGTCATACAGCTAGTAATAATTTTCATTTCCTTACATGCTTTATTAAGCTGTTTAGCATGCTTCCATATCAACATTGGTACAAATAAGTAGTCACTCAAGGAGAGAACTGTGTATGCTGCATTTGCTTTGAAATAATGTATGTAAAAAAAAAAAAAAAAAAAAGTAGAGCTGAAACATGTATAAATGTATAATGAGTAGAGATCAATTTATGTTATATATTTTAATATTATTATTATTAATCGCTTAACCCAATGCCACTAGCATGTCATGGCCATGTACATGCATACCATGCTCACCGTGAGTTTATTTGTTGGCTAATATTATTTACACACATATATGGATCTGTTAGTGCTTAGTCACAAAGGAGTCAGTTACTAGTTCTAACTCTGACCCCTTTACTGTTTTCACGATTTTTGGAAATATTCTGCATTTAATATCATTAATACCATTGTAATCATCATGATGTCAGTAATAATACTAACAGCATTGATATTGATATTTGTAAAAAAAAAAAAAAAAAAAAAAAAAAAAAATAATAATAATAATAATAATAATAATAAATCCCAAAAAATCAAGGATGATGAAAAGCAATAGAAAACATGCACCTATTAAGTGACTCCTTGATGGCTGAGCACTTGTGCAGCCATTTGTCTACATATATATTTCACAAAACTAAACAGTAGTGGACGTTATATGTTCCCGGCAGCATTGGCTTAGTGCTCATTTCAAATATTCTTGTAAAATGTATGTGCTACCTCTGTTCCTTTTCTTACACAATCACTGAAGTACACATTCATGACATCATTCCATTAAATTATCAATATTTTTGGTTAATTTCTCATTTACTCACTTGTGAGATTATTTAAGGTTTGAATTTAACTTCAAATGAGGAAAAAGGGCTTCAGAAATTTTTATACAGTTTGTAAATATCCTAGAATAATTGTATGCAATGAATGGCCAATAATAAAAGTAAATATAAAATATATGGTCTTTTCATATATTTTGTTATTCTTTAAATCATTATTATTATCAGGACTCAACCTGAGAACTTTGCAATTAAGAAAGCTATCCATTCTATCCATTCATACCTTCCTCTCTCCTAACATTCTCCACTCCATCTCCTACTGCACATTCTTCTTCATTGTCTATCTCCTTCCACCTTATTACTACTCTACATCCTTATTGGCCTCCTCTCCATAGTACTACCTTACTCCAAGTGGGATCAATTCTTTGTGATTTCCCCTACAGCCCCTGACAATACCCTTTTCTTCCAAGAATATCTGCAAAAACAAGTAGGCAAAGTTTCCTTCCACAGTTGTTCTGATTGTCCCAAGCTCGTGCACTATCTACCCTAACTGGCCTCACTAGTAATCCTATTCCTGTCGAACCTAACTCTTTTCTTAATACTTGACCTGGAACTATTTCTAGCCCCTGACTGATTGTCTTATTTACAAGAAGAACTGGTCAAACTAAAAATTACCTACTTGCCTGCCTTGTTGACTATGGTGTGGTAGCAGTACAGTGATACAGTATTCCTCCCAGAGTCCACCATAAGTCCTACGCCAATATTGCATAGATTAGCTACCATACACATGAAGTTTATATTGGAGTGTCCTGCCCTGTCCGACTATATCAACCTCTTCCACATCAATGTCAGAAAGCTTAGTGTTTTGTCACTGCACAGTCCACTGCCTTCTGCCCTCTCTGTGCCCAACCTGGTCATGACTGTTCAAATTGCTCTGCTTAGTCACGTGTGCCCATTGTGGTGGCTCCCATAACGTATTTCATAGGAGACGCCCTACCCATAAGGTTAATTGTGAGGTAGCATTTCTCAGATTCAAACTCGCCTCACTCTACATGAGGCCAGACAGGAAGCACGGCGACAAGGTTTTTCTCTCTTTACCTATTTCAGAACTGCCCTTCACACTGCTCTCCTCCCATCTTCTCAAGATGTCCAAGCATCTCCTCCAGTATCTCTTCTTTCTACCCCGAACTGTCCTACCTCTACTCCCCTTCTTCCCCAGTCAGATTCCTTTTCCATTCTAAATCCAGGTACTCCAATCTCTACCATTTGCCCAATACCTACCCCACCTCCTTCTCACTTTACCTGTCGCACCAGGCAACCTAAATGTTCCATTCCATCTTCTTCCACATTCTCTTCTACACCCTCCTCTTCCTCTACTCCTCGGGCATCTAAAATTCTCTTCTCCTTTGTTTAACAGACATCCCCACCCAACTCTCCAGAAACTTTTGAAGATATCCAAAACTTTCTAAAAATGACCAAAGAGAATACTCTTCTTCCTTATCCATCCTCCAATCCCACTATTCCTATTCCCTCTGTATTCAAAGTATTTCCCAATATCCTTCCTCCTGCTCCTCCAGTTCCTCCTACTCTCTCGCAACACACCCCATCCTCTCCTCCATGTGCACCATTCCCTCTTCGTTCCCCATTATCCTTACTGTTCTCACCTGATGGTCATGTGAATCCCTTCTGTCGCAACAGTGTCCTTCTCCATATCCCCCCCCTCCTGTCATTCTTCCTGATACTTCACCACTTTCCCCAATCCCTTTATTTCATTTCTCGGATTCTTCTCCTCTGACTTCTCCAACAGCCATCTCTGCCCATATTATCCATTGATTGATTCATGATGGCTTTTTGCAAGTTTTCCTTAAACACTGTTACTTTTCCATTCCCAGCCACAGATACACTCCATTTTATCCAATCACCCTATGCCCTAAACCGTTTCCTCTTTTACTAATCATCACTTTACTTCGTTTGCTCCCCCTCTATACTCTTTTCATTACCATACTATCATATTACGCTCTGTAACCTTTGACATCTAATCTATTTTATCCTAATCGTTAACGCATTTTTACCCCTTTTTCCCACAATACTTAACCTTAGTGCTATGGCTGATGTCTAGCACATTTACTTGTTTCAACCATTAAACTTTATCTTACCGCCGTATTTCGGGCTTACCATGGCCAGTAATGAAGATATTGTAACCTTATTAAGGGCATTGATGCTTGCCTCTTTATCAACAAGCCTCCCTGAATCTAACTCCTCTGGTTTACCAACCCCTGACTCTTCTTTGATCCCGGCCATGATCACTGCTATAACACCCCCTCATCGACACTTGCTGTCAACTTAAACTCAACCAGAATCATCTACCCAGGTAATAAATCGACCTCAAAATGACACCCCTCTCTCAACCTCAATATCCTCGACCCTATCTCTTGCACAGTCGTCTCCTTTTCCTACATCCTCCTTTTATCACAACTTTTTACATCCCTCCCAATACCTTGCTCGTTGTCGTCGTGGGAGGGCTTAGGAGACGAGGACCCAATGTAGGGATCACCCCTACTTTGGGCCTCAGCCCTCGCCTCAACTAATTTTGCTTGGTCTTTTCTTCTCTCCCATCCTCTTCCGTATCTTCTTTATTCCCTTCTATCCCATTCCTAGGGTGTGAGAGCTTTGTACCAGTCACGAATGGCCTCTGGGGACCATAGGCATGGTATTCCCTTGGTTAATTGCCTGGCCCTTACCCCTTATTGGGACCCTGAGGGGTAGACTGTTCATTTTTCCTATTTTATTCAGTCTCACCATGGCCAATAATGAAGATTCTTTACCCATAATAGAGGCATTAAGGCTGGTACCTTCATCAACTATCCTATCTGAATTTGATTTTGATGCTTTTCAGACCCCTGTTCCTCCTTTGACCACGGCTCCAACCACTGATACTAATACTACCTCTTCGACACTGACAACCAACTCTAATAATTCCAAAATACCCACCCAGGTTATTACTCAACCTCTAGGCAGCACCCCTTCCTCTTCCCCAACATTCTCCTCTTCATCTCCTGCTGCACAATCCTCTTCAGTGTCTAGCCCCTCTTCCCTTATTAGTACTCTTCATCCTTATTGCCCCCCCCCCCACAGAACTACACCACTCCACACCACCCCATCTTCCTCTCCTCCTCATCCTTCTACTGCCTCTACCTCTGCAAACCTTCTGAGCACTCCCTTTGGCCTAGCCAAGTGGGATCGATTCTTTGTGATTCCCCCCACAGCCCCCTATTCTGAGAATACTCTTTCGCAGTCGCTCTGATCATTCACGCCTTGTCACAGGTACATCTGAATCCCAAGCTCGTGCACTATCTACTCTAACTGACATTACTGGCAAACCCATTCATGCCGAACCTCACCCCTTTCTTAATACTTGTACCGGAACTGTTTCTATTCCCCCAAATGCTTGTCCCATGTATGACATGGACTGGTTAGACTGTGGAAGTGACACTTTCCTGCCTTGCTGAATATGATGCAGTGGCAGTACAGTATTACACTATTCCTCCTAGAGGCCAGCGTAAGTCCCACGTCAATATTGCCAAGATTAGCTTCCATGGACAAGACCTTCCCCATGAGGTTTATATTGGTTGATTATCTTATCATGTTCGACCATATTGACCCCTTCCTCGTCAATGTCAGAAATGTTGGCGTTTTGGCCACCCAGCCAAACTGTCGCTCCACAGCCCGCTGCCCTCTATGTGCCCAACCTGGACATGGCCGTTCAAATTGCCCTGCTCAGTCTCGTACATGTGCCAATTATGGAGACTCCCATACTGTATTTTTATAGGAGCTGCCCTGCCTATAAGCTCGAATGTGAGGTAACAGTCCTCAGATTTAAAGTAGGCCTCACTCTACCTGAGACTAGACAGGGAGCACGATGATGAGGTTTTTCTCTCTCAACTTATTCCAAAACAGTTCTTCGCTCTGCTCTCCGACCATCTTCACAGAATATTTCTACATCTCCCCGGGTATCTCTCCCCTATACCGTAAACCTATGTCAAACGTCTACTCACCCTATCCTCC